AGAGAGATGGAGAGAGGGAGAGAGAGAGAGATGGAGAGAGGGAGAGAGGGAGAGGGAGATTGATTGATTTATAGTCTCTCTTGGGCTTTGAATTTGAGCTTCCTGTTCCTGTGACAAGCTATTGGCTGCTGTAGGGGTCATGGATAACCTTGTAGGTTTTCTGAGTCAAGCTTGGTTGAACTGTGCTGGGTGATTTAATGAAGAGGAATGTGTTCTGAAAGGGTTATTGGACAATTCCTATTATGGCTTAATCACTTTCTCCTGGTTTGGATCTTGAGTGAGGGCTAATCTTATCACCCTGGAGCTGAAGGCCTTTGGTGTTGTAGATAAGATGGCCCAGTATTTCTGGGGCTGTTAACAAAAGTGGGAGCTGCTTTCCAAGAGCATGTTTCTCCTTTTCTCATCCAGGGTGGTATAATATTCTGCCTTTTTAACATTTCCTAGAATATTTCATTCTTCGAGGAGAAGGGTGGGTGCTAACTATCTACAATACTATTGATGGGCTCAATTTAACTGGTATGGAACAATGTTAAGGTCCTTCCTCTCCAAGTTTAGGATGCTTGGTCTGGTTTATATTTCAATTTCTTATTTGGCTGTTGTGCACAACATCCCCCGTTCATTCATTCTTGAAATTTAAGCACGGTTCTCCATTTCATCAACGCAAGCATACATATGAAGCCCCTTTATACATTCGAGACTATTTTTCTGAAGTTATATCCCAATCTTCCATTGTTATGCAAACATTCTCTTTTAGGTTACAGTGTAAACTTCAGTCCTTTTAATCATCCGATCCCAATATTCCATCAGGCTAGGACAATTGCTGCTCTAATCCTACATCATGGTTAAGTGGAAATAAAACGAAAAGAGTGGTACCCAAGAGTGAAGGGAGGCATACAAATGCATAGGTGATTTTTTTTTTCATCTAGGACACGGGTGTCAAACTGGCGGCCCATGGGCAGGATGCGTAGGGAATGCCCAACCCAACTCTGCAAGGGGGGGGGAAATCACAAAATGTCATGTGACAATCACGAGACGCCAGAAGTTTGACACACTTCATGAATACTTAAGAAAGGATCAATGAGCTTTCCCCCCCTCCTTCCATGTCAATTTAATAGCAATAGCAATAGCAGTTAGACTTATATACCACTTCATATGGCTTTCAGCCCTCTCTAAGCTGTTTACAGAATCAGCATATTGCCCCCACAGTCTGGGTCCTCATTTCACCCACCTCGGAAGGATGGAAGGCTGAGTCAACCTTGAGCTGGTGAGATTAGAACCGCCGAACTGCACATAACAGTCAGCTGAAGTGGCCTGCAGTACTGCACCCTAACCATTGCGCCGTCTTGGCTCTGAGGTTGGAGAATTTCATTTATTAGATATGATGGTATAGTGGTTAAGTTGTTACAATGAGAATTTGAAGAACAGATTCCAATTCTTACATTTGTTCAGTCGCTCAGTTGTGTCCATGGATCACAGGCACGCCAGGCCTCTTTGTCCCTCAAAGTCTCTTGCAGTTTGTCCAAATTTATGTTCATTGCATCGATGACACTATCCAGGGGTGGGCTGCTACCGGTTTATCCAGGTTCGGGGGAACCCGTAGCTAACATTATGGCTAGTTCGGAGAACTTCCAAATCCCACCCCTGGCTTGCCCTCCCAGGAGTCTCCACACAGCCCGTTTTGGATGCTCGTGACCCGTCAAATACGCGCCCGACAAAACCGCACCGACAAAACCGCGCCGACAAAACAGCAAGGATGAAATCGTGCCCACAGAAGCGTGCCGATAAATGTGCACCGACGAAAGCACGATTAGGGTTAGGGTTAGGGTTAGGGTTACTTGTTTGTTGATTGTGCGCTTTCGTCGGCACGCATTTATCAGCGCGCTTCTGTGGGCGCGATTTCATCCTCGCTGTTTTCTCGCCGCGGTTTTGTCGGCACACTTTTGTCGAGCCCATATTTGTCGGTGAACCTTGGATGCTAGGTAAGTGCAGGGCCTGTGTGGAGGCTCGGTGAGGGGAAGGGCCTCCAAAGCCCGGGGGAGGCAGTTTTTGCCCTCCCAAAGGCTGAAGGAAAGCTTCTGGAGCCCCGGGAAAGCAAAAATGGTTTCCCCTCCATAGTGATGGAGGCCGACGAGGCAACCTCCCCCATGGCCACGCCCACCCAGCAACCAGGCAGAGAACCCGTTGCTGAAATTTTTTTTATTGAAAATTTTTGGAAAAAAAAACTTTTACAAATGTTTACCTCNCAGACTTCAAAATATTCTGATTCCCCTTTATTTTTAAGTTCAAGAGTGAGCCTTTCTGCTTCCGCACAGGCCAACACTTTTCTGATTATATCTAGCTCTGATGGTATATTTTCTTTTTTCCAATATTGTGCATAAATTATGCGCGCCACAGTTAGTACTTGTATAATTAGATAAAGTACATCTTTCTTAAACCCCTCTGGTATTTTGCCTAGGAGAAAAATTTCTGGTTTAAACAAAATTTGATCTCCCACCATTTGTTCCAACCATGATTGAATCATTTTCCAATATTTTTTTGCCTCATTGCATGTCCCCCACAAATGATAAAAAGTATGGGAACCTTTACATTCTTGTGACAGCTGTACAGATAATCCTAGACTTAACAACCTTTCGTTTAGTAACCATTTGAAGTTACAACCGCACTGGAAAAAAATGATTTATGACATTTTTTACACTTACCACTGTTGCAGCACCCTAATGGTCATGTGATCAAAATTCAGACCCCTGACAATTGGTTTATATTATGATGATTGTGATTTCCCAGAATTGTGTGATAACTTGCAGTGTTCTAACAAACAAAGTCAATGGGGAACCCAGATTCATTTTACAGCTGTGTTGCTAAACAACTGCAGTGATTCGTAAACAACTGTGGCAAGAAAGGTCATAAAATGGGGCAGAACTCACTTAACAAACATCTTGCTTAGCAGCAGAAATTTTGGGTTTCAATTGTCATAAGTTGGGGATGACTTTTAGTCCTTCATGATTTTTGGCATTTGCAAATCTTACGATTAAATCTTAAAACTCTGCCCTAATTTTTTCTTTCTTGTCTCCTTGCTCAGAGGTTGGCGACCATTGTTCCCAAAGTTTCTCAAGTAGATAATTCTTCAAATTTCCTGAACAACATTCCTCACCGAAAACACCCAGGCATCCTCCATCTCAAATGTGTGAAGCTTCCACCTGAACTAGTGCAAGCAGTTTCCTTTTGGGTAGCACGTGAGTAAAACGTATTGAAGATTGTATTGTCTATCAGCTACTGCAGTGATGGCTAACCTTTTTTGGCTCAGGTGCTGAAAGTGCGCGCACACAATATGCATGACCCCATTGCCCCTCCCACACATGCATGCATGACACCCCCCCCCCCCTCCTAAAGCCTGGGGAGGGCAAAAACAGCCTCCCCCAGCTCCCTGGAGGCCTTCTGGAAGCCGGAAATGGCCCATTTCTGAACTTCCGGTTGGCCCATTGGGCCCGGTTCTGGCCGTCCCCAAGTTCTGGAAGCTTTCCTGAAGCCAGGGGAGGGCAGAAATCGCCTCTCCCAGCCCTCCATAGGCCCTTCGAAGGCCAAAAATCAGCTGACTTGTGCGTTGCAGCTGACCCAGGGCAATGGTCTTGGTTGAAAGTATGCTATAAGTAATTCCAGATTTACAACAGGCTACTTAGCAAGTGTTCAAAATTATGATGGTACATAACCCAAAAGTATATACCAGTCAGATTTGAAGTTCCAACCATGACCACTGAAGTCATCAATCAATCATTCAGAATAGAGCTGGAAGTGATCTTGGAGGTCCCTAAGGGATCTCCAACCCTTTGTTCAAGCAAGAGACCCTTTACCATTTCAGACCAAGTGTCTATTCAGTCTCTTAAAAAAACCCAGTGATGAAGCAACTATAGCTTCTGACAGCAAGCTGTTCTACTGGTTAATTACCCTCACTGTTAGGAAGTTTATTCTTAATTCCAGGTTGCTTCTCTCCTTGGTTAGTTTCCATCCATTGTTTATTGTTTGGTTCTGATGCTTTGGAAAACAAGTTGATCCCCCCCTCCTTCATGAACAACCTCTCAAATAGGGAATACAGTTATCATGTCCTCCCCTAGTTTTCCTTTTCTCTAGACAAACCCAAATCCTGCAACTGTTCTTCATATGTGATTACATTTTGGAATGCTTGGCAACCAGCCCACATTTATGGCTGTTTGCCGCATACTACAGTCACATGACCAAATTTACAATATTTTTTGCCAGACACTGGTATTTACTTCTGTTAAGTCTGTTGCCGACATACTCCATTAATGACCATGGTGATTTCCTTAAGTGCTGCCACAAAAAAAAGGTCATGAAATCAGATTGGCCACATGATGACTTGACCTGCTTAAAAACCTGTACAATTACAACTGTAATTTTAGGGTCAATTAAGTCCTACCCATACTGTCCCTAAAACAGAAATGACAGGGTGAATTCAGTGATCCTGCTTGTTTTTCAGTTTGGAGAGTATTATTTCTCTATTCTTTCACTTAAACGTATCCCTATAGTTTCTTTACCAACAACATTGAATTGGTTTACCCTTGTCTTCTGGGATGGCTTTTAGATTCAGTGACTGTTGTAGAGCTCAACGAAACCTTTGGTTTCTTTCATGAATCTTGTTCTTTCTCCCAGAATCCCCCATACGCGATATGAAGAAGAAATCCGAGTCTTTTATCAACTACCTCTGGAGCCGCAAACGCCCGATAGAGCTTAAAGATCTGCAGAAAAAAGCACAACTCCTGGAACAGAAGCTGAGGAAGGATGCGGAAGTCCTGATCGAACAGAAAGGTGAAAGTGGGGTATGGATGATAGAGGGAAAACAGGAGCAACCACACTTTTTAATTTTGATTGAAGTACAATATCAGAAATATGCAGGATAGTTAAAAAGAGTTGGAAGAACTGAAAGAAAACTTGAGGAATAGCAATAGCACTTAGACTTACACAGTATATCACTTCACAGTGCTTTACAGCCCTCTCTAAGCGATTTACAGAGTCATCATATTGCCCCCAACAATCTGGGTCCTTATTTTACTGACCTCAGAAGATGAAAGGCTGAGTGAACCTTGGTCAGGATCAAACTGCTGGTGAGTTAGCCTGCAGTACTACGTTCTAACCACTGTGCCACCATGAAATAGTTAGGTATGAAATCATAGGAAAAGAAATATGGCCAAATAATATGTCATTATAACAATAAACAGTTACAATTCTATATGCTGTATTTTTCAGAGTATACGACACACCTTTTTCCCTCAAAAAGAGGGTAAAAATCTGGGTGCGTCTTATACATTGAATACAGCAAAAAAGCAAAAAACCGGGCCGTTTGTGCCCCAGCCCCCAGGAGCACTCTACAAGCCTCCGAAAGCTCTCCATGCCCTTTAAAAAAAACGTGTGCAGAGCATTTGGGAGGCCTGTAGAGCGCAAAAACTTTTTTTAAATTTACCTCTTCAAAATCATGGTGTGTCTTATACACTGGTGCTTCTTATAGTACGAAAAATATGATATAAGTGTCTAGTCCAAATAACATTTATGTACACATTTTAAACATATTTATATGACTTTATTCTGAATCTGGAAAAAGTTGCTATGTGGGTAAGACACCCCTAACACCCCTCAGTGTATATCTGACTGTGTGTGTAGCCGTTCCAGCATAAGTCAGGAAGGCCTGGGCCACTGAAATGAAAAGGAATGAATTATATCTATAGTGTCGAGTCACAGTACTTTTCACAGCGATAGTGTGCATTTTGGATTCAAGTTCTGTTAAGATACAGCTTGTTGGGCCTTAAAATGGCTTCTACTGTACAGCACAATGGAATTGCCATGGTAACGGCTTCACAGCACTCCACAAAGGGGCTCCCTCTGGTTAGGAGGATTGGTTCTTAAAAACAAATAAACAAACAAACAAAACCCTAGGCAATGCTGGGTCATCAGATATATATGTGTGTGTGTGTGTGTGTGTGTGTGTGTGTGTGTGTGTGTGTGTATATATATATATATATATATATATATATATATATATATATATATATATATATATATATATATATATATATATATATATATATATATATATATATATATATATATATATATATATACATATACATATACATATACATACACATACACATACACATACACATACATACATACATATACACACACACACATATATATACACATAGATACATACATACACACACATATATATACACACACACACACACACACACAGTATGTATGTGTATGTATGTGTATGAATATGTATGTATGTATGTATGAGAGTACTATATTTCATTATACTTGCCTATACAAAGGTTACATCTCTAAACAACCAGCTCTTAGGTGGCAAGTGCAATCAGGGCCTCAGTCCATTGAGGGAACTGGTTCATTCATTCATCTTCCTAATGCTGCAATATTAGCTTTTTGGCCATGGTAACATGCACAGAAAATCTGTTTATGTTTTCCAACAGTCGAATTCCATGCGCCAAATATATATAGTAGTCCCAAACCTATGACCACAACTGAGCCCAGAATTTCTGTTGCTGCACAAGACAGTTGTTAAGGGAATTTTGCCTCATTTTACGACCTTCCTTGCACAGTTGTTAAGGGAATCATTTGATCATTAAGCAAATCTGGCTTCTTCCATTGACTTTGTCAGAACCAGCTGGGAAGGTTACAGATGGTGATTACGTGACCAAGGGACAGTGCAACTATCATTAAATACCGTAAATGCCAGTTGCCAAGTGCCCGAATTTTAACCACAAACCTGTGGGTGGGGATGCTGCAACGGTCATAAGGGTGAAAAGTCACTTTTTTCAGTGCTGTTGTAACTTCAAACGGTCACTAGACAAGTGGCTGCAAGTTGTGTAATTCCAAAGAATATTATTCCCTGAAAATTTTAGTTTCTGTTGCACGATTTATGTAATAAACTACCATATTTTTTGGAGTATAAGAGACACTCCCCACCCCTGCGCTAAAAGTCGGTGAAAATTTTGTTGCATCTTATAGACCGAATACGAGGCCATTTTTGGGCTCCCAAACACTCTGTGCATTGTGTTTTCGCCCTTTCCAACTATCAGAAGCATTCTACAGACAAAAATGGGTGTGTTTTTGGCGAGAAAGTGACAGACGGAGGAGGGAGGGCAGAAATGAACATGTTTTTTGGCCTGCAAAATGCTTCTGGGAGCTGGGGAGGACGAAAACACAACATGGAGGCCAAAAACTTATTTTTTTTCTACTTTTTTTCTTCCTCTAAATCTAGGTTTGTCTTATAGTCTGAAAAATACAGTACATTCTCCCTAAGTATAAGACTTTGTAAAAAGATGTTTTAAAGAAGCACGTATCTTTATAGTCCAGTGAATGCTAAATATTAGAATGTTAGTTTTTTCCTCACTTTGACAAAATACCTGGAGATCTTGGCCATTTTCTCTCTGTCAAGATACTTATGGAATTGTTAAGCCCCTGCAGAAAAGGTGGGATGTGACTCTTAACAAATAAATAAAAATAAATTATGTGCGAAAGTTTATTTTTTCAATCAGGATTTTCTCCAAAAACAGCAATATAAAGGGGCCAGAATTAAAAAAAAACCTCATTTCTCTGAATGGTCTTGGATTGATAACTGTGTCTTAACTGATCCTACTTCTCAGAGCTGATTGTGTAGATAGGCCGATATGCGGTTAAGCGATAATGTATATTACACTATCTTTGAGAATGAGTGAGATAAAAATGTAATAATTGCAACAATAACACTAGTATATTTTATCATACATCTTTTTTAGGTGGATCTCTAGATGAAAGTGATGAGAAGCTGAAGCAAAAAGTTTTGACTGTTCTTCGTAAATCAACCTACCACTGGGAAGAATTGAAGTGAGTGTTTATAATTCAAGATTCTGATTACTGGAGGAAGACTTAGTTGACCTCCTTGTTTTAATCTCTTTGAATCATGAAGTCCTATTAGTTTTTCTTTCCATATAAGGTAAAGGTAAAGATTCCCCTCGGACATATGTGCTAGTCATTCCCGACTTTAGGGGGCGGTGCTTATCTCTGTTTCAAAGCTGAAGAGCCAGTGCTCTTCGAAGACGTCTCTCTGGTGATGACTAAATGCCGAAGGTGCATGGAGCATTGTTACCTTCCCACCAAAATGGCCCCTATTTTTCAACTGCCAGGTTGGCAGAAGCTGGGACAAGTAATGGGAGCTCACTCCATTATATGGTGCTAGGGATTCGAACCGCCGGACTGCCAACCTTTCTGATCGACAAACTCAGTGTCTTAGCCACTGAGCCACCGCATCCCTGTTCTTTTCACACAAATCCTTCCTGTTATTAAGGGTGTTGGTGTTATGATGATGATTTAAGCTCTGCCTGATTTCAGAAGAACTTTTGGCTGTTTACACTTTAAAAAAAACAACACGCCTCTTCTATGTATGATGAAACGAAAATGGAAGGATCTCCTAAAGCACTCTCCCAAGGCCTGGGAGAAAAGCCAGAATGAGAGCCTCATCATTGTATGCTGTGTATGTGTCTGCTCTTTGCCTCCACTTTATGGTGGTTATTCTCATGAGTTTAGGTGACTTTGGGTTAGCTGTGGGGCGAGGGTTGTTTGGTGTAGCTTTCTCTTTATACTGACCACAATTGCATTTTTTTTTCCCTTTCTCAAGATACACCGATGAGCTCAGCTTTCTGTACATGGTCAGCCGGATGGATGCAAACTATGCAGCAGTGAGCCGAGCTTTCCACGAAGTAAGTTGCAGGTGTAACTTCCGGGGTGCAGTGGGAAAGCAATCCAGCAGAGCTTCATGGAGGGGACGTGGTGATAATGGCAGGCTTAGAATCCTGCCACTCTTCTGGACTTGAACATTTAACTCATTGTTAAACATCTCAGCTTTGTAACAGCGACAGTAACAGAGTTGGAAGGGGTCTTGGAGGTCATCTAGCCCAACCCGTTGCTCACACAGGGGACCTCTATTGCTCCTGACAAATGGCTGTCCAGTCTCTTCTTAAAAGCTTCTAATGATTGGGTACCCATAACTTCGGAAGGCAATTTGTTCCACTGGTTGATTGTTCTCACTGTTAGGAATTTTCTTCTTAGCTCTAGGTTGTTTCTCTCCTTTATCTTCTTTTTTAGGGGGAAAAAAGAGGTTGATATTTTTAGGGCCCAACCACTGATTATCGGCATTTTTGCAGTATTAATCATTTCATAGGATAATCCAAAACTACTGTTGAAACATGTATTCGTATGCCAGAACTAAATTTAGCTGATGAGTAACTTTTCCTCATACTCGGCTGTATAAATGTGGTAGGAAAGGAGACCGTTCCTTTACATTGGGTGTAAGGTCCAAAAGTCCCAAAATACACCTATACCCCACTGGTTGTTTCGGCCTTGAATGTCAGGTAGCCTGTCTCTTGCTGTGGGTGCTCGTTTCTAGCAATTGAAATTGGGATGATGTGAAAAGGGCCTGTACTGCAGGAGCCATTATTCTTTTGAAAGTCAGTGAAGGTAAGCTCATAAGTAACATCTCTGACAAACTTAAAAGCATAAGGCCGTGATAATACACCTATAGCACAGGTGGTACGCAGAGCCCTCTCTGCGGGCATGCAAGCTGTTATGCAAGCTGTTGCCCCAGCTCAACTCCATCATGTATGTGTATGCGCTTCCCGCTGGTCAGATGATTTTTGGTCCCTGCCACCATGGGAGATGAATGTTTGTTGGTGGGGGGGGTCACACACACATGCACAGCGGGTCCATCCCCGCGCCCCATTTTTGGTTCCAGAAATCTTCAGGGAGACCTGCTAGGTGCAAAATGGGCCGCGGGTGTGTGTGTGTGTGTCACACATGCAAATATTGTGGGTGGGGGGAGCATGGGGGGTGCGCTTGCGCCATGCATTGCATTATGGGTGGGGGCTTTTGGCTCGTGACGACAACAAGGTTAGCCATCACTGGCATAAGGTCATTTTTTTAAAATCATGTCTTACCTTATTAAGCTTGGCGAATATTATACTGTCCTACCAAACTGAGAAAATGATCCCTTTTCCTCTGCAACTGTTTTCCCTTCAGATCCAGAAGCGAGTACCAGATTTCCAGCCCAAAACTTTGCTGGATTTCGGCTCGGGCACCAGTGCTGTCAGCTGGTGAGAATCCCCTTGGAAGGGAGGAGAATCTGCCTTTCTCTGCAGCAGCAAGAGTGAGACTTATGTCCCTCTTAGAGGGAGAACTCCCTAAAACAAGGGGAAGAGAGGGGAAGTCGATCTTTCTTGGCTATGGTTTCACTGTAACATTTTTGAAGGGGAAGAACGCTGCCAAGCCAGCTATTGCACATGTGAACTGGGCAAGTTTGGGTTAGGGCTCCTAGTTTTCCTAAATGGGGACATTCTGGGAGTGGAGTTCCCTACCTATTTTGAAGAGGATCGTATGTAGAAATGTTTACAAAATAGGGGAAAAATCTGCAGCCAGGTCTCCATAGTCAGTATAAGTGAAGGAACACAAGGCTAGCGACAAAAGAGATTCAAGCAGTATGCTTGTGACAGAAATGGCTTTCCATTAGGGGAAGCCAACAGAAGTGGATCTGGTGGGGGATATGGAGGTAATGTGTCTTCATAATTATAACATTACGGGTTTTCCCTGAAAATAAGACAGGGTCTTATTTTGTTTTGACCCCCAAAATATGCGCTTGGCCTTATTTTTGGGGAGGTCTTATTATTTTTGAGGCACAGGAGGCCTCAAAACCACATGGCTCCACATGAGCATGGTCACCTCATGGCTGCTGCTGTGTTGCAATATTTTTATGGAGAGCTTATTTTCATGGGAGGGCTTATTTTAGTGCATGCACTCAAAAGCCCAATGTGGCTTATTATCCGAGGAGGTCTTATTTTCAGGGAAACGGTATCC